GGGTCCTTTTTGTTGGACACACAGCCAATGAAGCCAATAAACACTATGCTTAAAGCAAACTCCATGATTGATCCGAAGTCCCCATGCTTGACTACTGCTTCCTTCCGGGACTCAGACAGCTACACCCAAACGCGAAAGTCCTTGCATTTTCGTGTTTTTCTTGAAAGTCCGCAGCCTGCCAGTAAAAACAACGCAACGAGTAGTCCCGGCAGGGTCCTTGCAACTGAGCCTTCCCTATTGGCACACGGCGCCCAAGCGTCTCCTAAAACTGCTTTGTTTGAGTACCACTACGGACGCAATCCCGATGGCACATCGCATGTTACAAGGCACTTAAACGCATTTTAAGCATACATGTTTAAGTACGAGTAAGAAGGCAATCCCCATGGCACATCGCATACCAGTTGGGACCAAGATGTTGCTTGACTATGTGTGTTTGCACGCCAAAAGAAGGCAATCCCCATGGCACATCGCGCCCAACAACATCGAAACAAGTCTTGCAAAAACAAGTTCGTGTGCTAGTACGAAGGCAATCCCCATGGCACATGCATACCCAAAGGCAACCAAACACATCTCAAAGACATCTTTTCGAAGCACAAAACTGAAGGCAACCCCCATGGCACATTGCATAATCAACCGCAATGTGTCTCCTAGAACTGTTTTGTCTGAGCGCCGCTACGGACGTGATCCCCATGGCACATCGCATATTGCAAGGCACTTCAGCGCATTTAAGCATACGTGTAAGAAGGCAACCAGCATGGCACATCACATGCCAGTTGGGACCGAAATGTCGCTTAACTATGTATGCTTGCTCGCCAAAAAGAAGGCAATCCCCATGGCGCATCGCATGCTCAACAACATCGAAACAATTCTTGCGAAAACAAGTTCATGCGCTAGTACGAAGGCAAGCCCCATGGCACACGCATACCCAAAGCCAACCAGATGCATCTTGAAAACATCTTTCCGAAGCACACAAATGAAGGCAACCCCCATGGCACATTGCATCATCAACCGCGATCTCCTAAAACTGCTTTGTTTGAGTACAACTACGGACGCAATCCCCGTGGCACATCGCATGTTACAAGGCACTTAGACGCATTTTAAGCATACATGTTTAAGTACGAGTAAGAAGGCAATCCCCATGGCACATCGCATACCAGTTGGGACCGAAATGTTGCTTGACTATGTGTGTTTGCACGCCAAAAAGAAGGCAATCCCCATGGCACATCGCATGCTCAACAACATCGAAACAAGTCTTGCAAAAACAAGTTCGTGTGCTAGTACGAAGGCAATCCAGCAAAGCAGTTTCAGGAGACACGTTGCGGTTGATTATGCAACGTGCCATGGGGGTTGCCTTCATTTTTGTGCTTCGAAAAGGTGTTTTCAAGATGTGTTCGGTTGCTTTTGGGTGTGCTTGTGCCATGGGGATTGCCTTCGTACTAGCACATGAACTTGTTTTTGCAAGAATTGTTTCGATGCTGTTGAGCATGCGATGTGCCATGGGGATTGCCTTCTTATTGGCGAGCAAGCACACATAGTCAAGCAACATTTCGGTCCCAACTGGTATGCGATGCGCCATGCTGGTTGCCTTCTTACTCATGCTTAGACATGTGTGCTTAAAATGCGTTTAAGCGCCTTGTAATCTGCGACGTGCCATGGGGATTGCGTCTGTAGCGGCACTCAAACAAAGCAGTATTAGGAGACACGTTGCGGTTGATTATGCAATGTGCCATGGGGGTTGCCTTCATTTTTGTGCTTCGAAAAGATGTTTTCGAGATGTGTTTGGTTGCCTTTGGGTATGCATGTGCCATGGTGAGCGCCGCTACGGACGCAATGCCCGTGGCACATTGCATATTACAAGGCGCTTAAACGCATTTGAAGCACACATGTCTAAGTATGAGTAAGAAGGCAACCAGCATGGCACATCACATACCAGTTGGGACCGAAATGTTCCTTGACTATGTATGCTTGCTCGCCGAAAAGAAGGCAATCCCCATGGCACATCGCATGCTCAACAACACTGAAACAATTCTTTCAAACACAAGTTCATGTGCTAGTGTGAAGGCAATCCCCATGGCACATGCATACCCAAAGGCAACCAAACATCTTGAACACATTTCTCGAAGCGCCAAATACAAGCAACCCCCATGGCACATCGCAGAACCAACCGCAACCGAGCACTGTTTAAACATATATATATATATGTAGTAGTAGTAGTAGTAGTAGTAGTAGTAGTAGTAGTAGTAGTAGTAGTAGTAGTAGTAGTAGTAGTAGTAGTAGTAGCACAAGCAGCAGCAGCAGCAGCAGGAGTAGTAGTAGTAGTAATAGTAGTAGTAGTAGCAGCAGCAGCAGCAGGAGTAGTAGTAGTAGTAGTAGTAGCAGTAGCAGTAGCAGTAGCAGTAGCAGTAGTAGTAGTAGTGTAGTAGTAGTAGTAGTAGTAGTAGTAGTAGTAGTAGTAGCAGAAGCAGTAGTAGTAGTAGTAGTAGTAGTAGTAGTAGTAGTCGTGGTAGTAGTAGTAGTAGTAGCAGTAGTAGGAGGTGCCTTGTGTTAAGTTTTTGGCAAGTTTACCCAGGAAAAAAACGAGTCCAAAAACGAGTCCAAAAACGAGTCTAAAACGAGTCCGAAAAGAAAGAAAACGTGCAGCCGCAACCCACCTAGGCCTCAGCCTGAAAAGCAGGCCGTTGAAACCAACTGATGTGTTAAGCAGACTGTCGGCCTTAGCCTAATACGTATTACAAGCACTTGTTGAAGATACGTGTTTTTCAAGCGTGCGCCAGTGCGATTGGCCACCCAAAGCCCCGGCTTCCACAACGCAAGCTGTTCTAGGAATCTTGTTGAGGATGATTGCGTGTGCCAAGGCGGTTGGCCTCCCAAAGCCCCAGCTTCAACAACGCAAGCTGTTCTAGGAATCTTGTTGCGGATGACTGCGTGTGCCAACGCGCTTGGCCTTCCAAAGCCCCAGCTTCAACAACGCGAGCTGTTCTAGGAATCTTGTTGAGGATGATTGCGTGCGCCAGTGCGATTGGCCACCCAAAGCCCCGGCTTCCACAACGCAAGCTGTTCTAGGAATCTTGTTGAGGATGATTGCGTGTGCCAAGGCGGTTGGCCTCCCAAAGCCCCAGCTTCAACAACGCAAGCTGTTCTAGGAATCTTGTTGAGGATGACTGCGTGTGCCAACGCGCTTGGCCGTCCAAAGCCCCAGCTTCAACAACGCGAACTGTTCTAGGAATCTTGTTGAGGATGATTGCGTGTGCCAATGCGAATGGCCTCACAAAGCCCCAGCTTCAACAACGCAAGCTGTTCTAGGAATCTTGTTGAGGATGATTGCGTGCGCCAGTGCGATTGGCCACCCAAAGCCCCGGCTTCCACAACGCAAGCTGTTCTAGGAATCTTGTTGAGGATGATTGCGTGTGCCAAGGCGGTTGGCCTCCCAAAGCCCCAGCTTCAACAACGCAAGCTGTTCTAGGAATCTTGTTGAGGATGATTGATGTGCCAATGCGATTGGCCTCGCAAAGCCCCAGCTTCAACAACGCAAGCTGTTCTAGGAATCTTGTTGAGGATGACTGCGTGTGCCAATGCGATTCATGTGTTAGTTGACTGAACCTTCTCATTATCTTGGCCAGAGGCAGTGTGCCATTGCGTTTTGTGATGGGAGTGGGCCTCAACATTCAACAGCGCACCTTCGCCAAACACTCCTCAAAGTATCCGGCCCCCCATGGCACACCAGACACTTGGCTTTGTGTACAGTGGGGGGCTGGGGTAGCACTTGCGTCGCCAGCAACATCTAAGCCTGCAACTTCTATCACCTCGAATCCTACTGGCACACAGCTGAACAACACAAGGAACCAGACTCCCATGTGTTAGTTGACTGAATCTTCTCATTATCTTGGCCGGAGGCAGTGTGCCATTGCGTTTTGTGACGGGAGTGGGCCTCAACGTGCAACAGCGCCCCTTCACCAAACACTCCTCAAAGTATCCGGTCCCCCATGGCACACCAGACACTTGGCTTTGTGTACGGTGGGGGGCTGGGGTAGCACTTGCATCGTCAGCAACATCTAAGTGAAACGAGTGTACCCATGCGATTTGATTCAAAATGGCTTCATGCCACACATCATAAAAGACAGCATGATCATGACCCTAAATAGCTTTCCCCACTGGCACACTGCTTGCGGCGCGAGATCATGGCTTGCGGGGCGTGTAACCACAAGGACCCAGTAAGTGTTTTTTCAGGCGTGTGCCAATGCGATTGGCCACCCAAAATGCCTCAACATCACCAACACAAACCGCGATCGAGGGAAGGTGTTTTCCATGTGTGCCAGTGCGTTCGGCCTACCCAAAAGACCTCAACTTGATCAATGAAACCATCTCAGGGGACCACGTTCAGCATGTATTTCTCTACAAAAAAGACCTCAATATCACGCAGCAATTGTCTCTTGAAAACATGCTAAACTAAACGCCACTGGCACACGGAGTTGCAACGACCCTACCGGATGCGTTTCGTGTGCGTATTACACGAAAAACATGCTGCCAAAACCAAACGCAACGACTTTCACAGGTGAGAGTACAGGACCACAAAACCACACTACTCGCCTAGAAACCTGAGGCAGCCGCGTCCAAGTTGCCAGTGGTCCCAGCACGTCCTTCCAAGAAAACAGGCCGGCCGAAAACCATCAACACGCAGGAAAGCCATGGCAATCATGTTTCCTCTCAAATGCTTGCGCGCATGGCGCGCGCGAATACCACTCAAGATCTGACTTTGACCTCCCCAAGTAATAGAGTTACCAATTCTGGGGCCTCATTAATTAGTGCTTACCTGTCAATCCGAGGCATTCAGCAGAATGATTTGAGAGAATTCCCTTGCAAGCTCACCCGCCAAATGTTCATGGAACCCAAGCCATTCAAGGGGATCCCCTTTTTTGGCCGAAAAAAGGGTTCCCTCTGCTACCTCCAGTGGCCACGGGAAAAACAAACAAACATTTGTTGGTGCTTCATGGCAGGAAAAACATCGGGCTGCCCAGTGACCCCGCCAGGGTTTCAAAAACAGCTCGAACGGGGTTGTTCATTTTCAGTGCTGTTCCAAAGCATACTGCCGACCCCTGATTCATAAAGCTCCAGCTATTATTCACTACTTAGACGGAAACCATGAGAACCCCTTGATTTCCAACAAAAGTTCGCGTCCAAAGATCCGCTACCCAACAGCAATCAAGGACTATGAAGGATCGAAACAAAGAGGCGGAGTCCGGTGAGCCGGGATTGGCACAGCCTTGAAGTCGCGAGTGCAGATGGTCTTCACCTCAGCCGGCCACTGATTTCCGCCCATCGGAAATGTTGGCGAGCAAGGCGGTGGAAACGCAAAATCAGGGAGGGGCGTGGCTTCCGGAAAAAATAATTGGAACGTGCAAAGCCATGCTAATCGAAACTTGAAATCGCGTGACACCAAAGTGGTCAGCACCATGAATTTCCTATTTTACGGCGGGCTCCTTGACATTGCAGCAAGTTGCCGCTCATATGCAAAACTGTTGGTTGCCGCGATTTCATCACGAAGAACGGTTTGTGGCAAATCGGTCACAGCTCGCCTTCTCGCCGCCGATGGGATGCGGGGCTTCTTGTTTCAGCCTGCCAACAACTTCACGAGCCGGGTTGGTGGGAAAAACCGGGCCCAACATAAACCGATACCCGCGCAATGGGTTGAAGCCATGGCGCTAGCCTTCGGACCCCGGCCGTGCCCGCGCCTCATTTCAGCCAAGTACAGAAGGCGCGCATCGACCTCGCCAGCCTCACAACTCGCGAGACCCCAATGTGCACATGCCGGGGCCATTGGCTACCCAGTGACGGGCTGGCAGCTGCGTTTAAGGACAAAGCCAAATGCACGGTGGCATTCCCAAAGCAACCCCCGAGCAAAGTTTGGCTTTTGACCACCTTCCCCTTTTGGTAGGGCTGTGGGTTTAAAGACTTGCCTTGACTTGCTCCCAAAATCTCCCAAATGCCCATCTCGGGCAAATCCAGGGGCCACATCTTGCGCGCCACTGGAAGCACACCTTGGGGGATGCCCGAGAACCATGGGAGGGTTTCCCAACACGGTCAGGTTTCGCCGTGCCTGCGCCATGCGCAGGGCTTCGCGGATCCGCTTGCCCAGGTCCAACTTGTCCTTGCAGGACATTCTGATCACCCCCCATGGAAGAATCACTTGGAACACCAGCCAAAAGCTTCATGAAACTGGGCTTGGTCCGTGAAAGGAAACCACCGAACCATGGTGTGGTGCTCTTGGTGGATGCGATGCAACGCCCCGCTTCGAAAAGCTGACCGCGTGCCTTGCGGAGGATGTCATGCTGCTGGCCTGCGAGGGCTTAGCTTCTCTCGCCTCTGACAGCCCAGCCTTGCCCGTAAAATCCCATGGGCACTCCCGGGCATCTTTGGGTGGACACAAGGTGGGGAGCTGTGTCCACCAACAACCACTTTTAAGGTATTTTCGTAGCTAAGATGGGTAGGCAAAAGCGGCATTGACGTTGTGCAGAGCCCAAATTTCTGACATGGGCGCTTGCATGCAAACATAACCGCGCAACAGTTTGGGTATAGTCCAAACAAAAGTTCGCATTGCTTTCGCATTTGCTCTTTGATATGTAGCAGCAAGCAACCTCGGTTTGGCCAGCACTTCCATGAATATTTGCACACCCCTGCGTTAGGTTCTCCATTCCAGGGGCCTTGGCCTGGGGCAACTTCCCGACGCGACCGATTGCCAAGGTCACGGCGCGCAGGGTCGATGTACTCCACATCGGCCCGGTACTTGTCCAGCATCTGAAAAAAGGCAGCAGGCCATTGTCATCTCGCTTTGTCAAGCCTTTGCCTCTTGTGAACAAAATGTGTCCCTATGTTTTTCGTTAACTTACGACTGTTATCCGTTTCTTCCTTTTATTTTGCATGCCCATCGCCCGGGATGCCAATTGAACATGATCAACATCCGTTGGTTCCAGCAACGGTCACCGACATCCTGGCCTTGGGATGCTCCAAGATGTTGGAAATGAATTCATGGGCACTCCGGCCTTGCAAGCGAGTCACATCAAGCGTGCTCGCAAAGCGTGGCGCGCATGTCCCACCGGAATGCTGGGCAAATTTGGCTGAGCGCGCCGCAATTGCGCAAACAAGATCGCACATCCTCTGGAATGCAGTCCTGCCGCGCAAGCAGTGGCAATCAAAACCACGGGGTAGGCTTTTGCAAGGCTTGCAGATTGTGAGACCTGGACATATTTTTGTCTTGTGAGCCCACGCTTCAGCAAAACTACAACCAAAAATCAGAAATACAGAAACTGTACAATACAACATGCTCACACACACACACATGCGTAGCTTGTTTTCTGGCATCCGGCCTTCGGGGCTGCTTTTTTTTGGATTTGTTTGTACACCATCTACACGTCTCAGCTTAAACTGCGTGACTGTTGCCAGCGGTTTGGCTACCTCGAAGCGCAAATCCAGCAAGTCCGTGCCGTGCGGCAGGACCACAAAGTCCTGGACCAACTCGCATCACATTGGTCACATGTGACCAATGTTTATTTGCTTATGTATTTATGTGCGCGTCTCAGGTTTTCCAAACAAATGATGTCTTTGCAAGCCGTGCATGCTAGTTGCAGGTCAACCTTCCGAAAAAAAATCCGCTGGCAGCAAATAGCAGGATAGCAAAGTTGGCAAGCCCAAGCCAAACATTCCTTGTTTGATTGGTTGCTTGCTTTTCCCCAAAGCATTGCGAAGGGTTTTTCCGGTAAAGTCGTTGCGTTCTGCACAGCTCAACTGCATAGGGAAAGTAGACAGCGAAATGCATAGTAATAGGGGCATGCATGCGGAAAGTAGACAGTGAAATGCATAGGGCAAGTACAGAAGGAATGCATAGAGGCATGCAGAGGGAAAGTAGACAGTGCAATGCATATAGGGCAAGTGCAGAGTGAAATGCACTGATGCATGCATAGGGCAAGTGCAGAGTGAAATGCACTGATGCATGCGCAGGGAAAGTAGGCAGTGAAATGCGAGGCACGCAAAGAGCAAGTACTTAGGCAAGTGCATAGATGACGTGCACATTGAGAGCAAGCAGTGAAATGCAGAGAGGCATGCGCAGGGAAAGTAGACAGTGCGATGCATGGAGGCATGCGCAGGGAAAGTAGGCAGTGAAATGCATAGAGGCATGCATAGGGCAAGTACAGAGTGAAACGCATAGATGCATGCACAGGGCAAGCAGGCAGTGAAATGCTGTTTTTGTTTGTGATTCTTGCCGTGCGCGCGCGGGGTATGTTTTTTTTTTAACATTCTTACGTAACGTGCGCAGTTCTCTGCGGGGATCGGCGTGGTCGAGGCGCAAAAACTGGAGTTCTTTGCGGTCCTGAGGAGCGCACGCGGCCCTCTGCGGGGATCGGTGTGGTCGATGTGCAAAAACTGCGTTGAATTTCTCCTTTTCTTTCCGATTCTTGGGGTGCGCGCGCGGCCTTCTGCGGGGATCGGCGTGGTCGATGTGCAAGAACTGTTTTTTGCGATTCGCCCCACGAACGCGCGACCCTCTGCGGGGATTGTGCGTGTCGGATCGCTCTCGCTACGGTCCCGTGCGAATCTTCGCAGTTCGCGCGTGACCCTGTGCGGAGATCTTCGCGGTCTGCGCGCGACCGTCTGCAGGGAAGTTGCAACTTTCAAGTACAAAAGTAGTACGCGAAAAACGTCCCCACAGCTCCAGCTGCAAAGTCGCAACTTCTAAGTACAAAAGTAGTGCGCGGAGCGCGTCCCCGCAGCTCCAGCTGCAAAGTCATAGCTTTTCAGTACAAAAGTAGTACGCGAAGTACGTCCCCGCAGCCGGCTGCAAAGTCGGAAAGAAGACAATGAAATGCGTAGTGGCATGCATAGAGAAAGTGCACAGTAAAATGCAAAGATGCATGCGTAGGGCAAGTACAGAGTGAGATGCATGGAGGCACGCGTAGGGAGAGTGCACAGTGAAATGCATACGGCCGTTCAGTGCGTTAAGAAATCTTGTGAAATAAGAAGCGAGACTCTCGCTGGGCAGCAGGTAAAGTTCCCAGAGTCTCGGGTCCGCCAAAAACCCGATTTCTGTTCAACCACGCAGTGTGTCTCCATTATCTCTTCAATTTCAAGATTGTCAGTTTTCCCCAGATAGCTGAAAGCTATAGGGGTTCTAACTTCTTATAAAGAAGGGAAAGTGATTTGCGAGATTGAGGGCCGGGTGCTGGGGGGGGCATGCAGTTTGGGGTGCTGGTGGAGGTGCTGTTTTGCGAGCTTGACGGCCGGGTGCTACTGGGCATGCAGTTTGCAGTGCTGGTGGAGGTGCCGCTTTGCGAGATTGACGGCCGAGTGCGTGGAGGTGCTGTTTTGCGAGATTGACGGCCAAGCGCTAGGGGTCATGTAGTTTGGGGTGCTGGTGGAGGTGCTGCGAGATTGACGGCCGGGTGCTAGAGGGCATGCAGTTTCGGGCTGGTGGAGGTGCCGCTTTGCGAGATTGACGGCCGGGTGCTAGGGGGCATGTAGTTTGGAGTGCTGGTGGGGGTGATGCTTTGCGAGATTGACGGCGGGTTGCTAGGGGGCGCTGGTGGATGGGCATGTAGTTTGGAGTGTTGGTGGAGGTGCTGTTTTGCGAGATTGACGGACGGGTGCTAGGGCATGCAGTTTGGGGTGCTGGATGGGTGCTAGGGGGCATGCGTGCTGGCGCCTGTGCTGTTTAAGGCGCTGATGGACAGGGGGGGCACTCAGTTTGGGGTGCTGTTTGGGGTGCTGGTGATGGTGCAGGCGCATTCTTGCAAGGAGCTGATGCAGCTGTTTTGGGGTACTGTTCGGGGTGCTGTTTGAGGTGCTGCTGACGTTGCGGGCACAATTTTTGGAGATTGCCGGCGGGTGCCCGGGGGCATGCAGTTTGGGGTGGTGGTGCAGGTGCTGTTTTGTGTTGCTGTTGGAGGTGCTGCTGACCGCGTGGGCATAGACGTCTAATGAAGAAGGGAAATTGTTTTGCAAGATCGACGGCTGGGAGTTAGGGGGCATGCGCTTTGGGGTACTGGCGCAAGTGCGGTTTTGGGCGCTGTTCGGTTCAGGTGCTGGTGGCCGTACGTGACGGCAGAGTCCTCGGGGATGTCCGGTGCTAACGCAGCGGGTGCTGCGTTGCGGTGCTATTGGGGCTGCTGTTTTCGGGTGTTGGTGATGGTGCGGGCGCATATGGACGGCAGGGTGCTAGGGCGGGTGCTTTTTGGGGTATCGTGGTTGTCGCATCATCATGATGCTGGCCGCAGCCACCGGTTCGGACGTTGTTGCTGCTCTAACTGTCGCGCGTAATGGTTCGTGGCGGGCGTATCATCATGATGTTGTCAACCACGTTATGATGCTGCTGCAATCGCTGCGTTGTGGTTCGTGGGTGTGGCGGCGGGTATAATGCTGTCAACATCAGGATGATGCCGAATTTCATGACACTGTCGCAAGATGATTCGTGGCTGTGGTATCATCAGGATGCTGCCTTTGCCATCACCATGATGCTGTGAGCATCACCATGATGCTGTCCGCATCATCGTGATGCTGTCGAACTCATCAGGACGTCGTCTCTGCCCTTTTCTGCTGGATATGTAGCGCGGAATCGTTCGTGGCTGGTGTATCAGCATCATCCTGTCAACATCATCGCTTTGCTGATGGACTCACTAGGGCGTTGTTTGCGCCGGGTTCCACCACAGTTGCACTAGGTTCTGCGAGGGCTCCCGGGTGGTCCGTAAGGTTCTACTACGGTTCCACGAGGTTCTACGAGGGTTTCACCAGATTTCCACTAGGAGACAAGGTTCTATGAAAGTTCCACTAGAGTTCTAGCATGGTTCGCGTCTATGTGGCGCACTAAGCTGAGTAGCTGTGGTATTTTCATGGTGCTGTCAACATCACCAAGATGCTGTCAACATCATCATCACGCCGCGGGAACCATTGTGATGCTGCGTCATGGTTCGTAGCCGTGGTGTGCTATCTGGGGTCTATGCTGGTGTATTTTTTTGTTACAAACGTCAGCTTACTCACGAAAGTGTAGACCAGGCAACAGGCCTGAAGCCCATGTCTGAACCTAGTCTGAGCCCAAACAAGTGATGTTCGGTTGTGTTGTTGCGTGAATGGGTGAGGGGGTTGGTGCAATTGGGTGCGACTTGCAAATGGGTGAAGGGATGGGCGCGATTTGGGTGCGACCGCCTTGTTGTCTACTGACCTGCAATGCAGGTCTTGGCTGCCGGAGACAGACCTTCTCAGACTGGCTTCAAGCCTCTTGTTTTTTAGCTGAGTGAGCAAGCCGTCGAGAAAGGGCAACAAAACGATTCCACCCTTGAGCATGTTGGATTCCCGCAAAATCTGCGCAGCAAAGCAAAGCCCCACTTTTATTTTGCAACCCCGCGTCTCGGAAAACCTGAGATTTCTTATCTCCACCGTAGAACCAAGAAACTAGCGAGACTCTTGACAATGACAAGAGATTTCTTGTCACACAACATGATCGTAGATGCATACACAGGGATCGTAGAAAGTGACATGCATAGAGGCATGCGCAGGGAAGGTAGGCAGTAAAATGCATAAATGCATGCACAGGGAAAGCAGACTGTGAAGTGCACAGATGCATGCGCAGGGAAAGTAGACAGTCTGATGCATAGAGGAATACGCAGGAGCTGTTTTTTTTTTTTTTTTCTCGCGCACCTTTTTGCATCTGCCCAAGCGGCGAAAACACGTGCTTAAGGGGGAGTCCCGGGCACTAGGACACAAGCACAGTTTGGGGGTGGCGTGGGCCGGCACTAAGGCCAAGAACCGTCACCGAAGGCGGGTGACGAGGGGCGGCCGGCAAGCCGAGTCGGCAAGGAGCTCGCTGAGGTCGGGCCTGAAACGCATGAAGGCATGCACAGGGCAAGTGCAGAGTGAAGTGCATAGATGCATATATGCGCATGGAAAGTAAACAGTGGAATGCATAGAACGCATACTTGGAAAAAATGAGCCGATTCAGGCTCCGTGTCATGGAGAACTTTCAGGCCGCCCGTCTTCTAGTTTTCTCTCCTTGTCTTTCGTTCCTTTGCATGCCCCGACAGGGCACGTTTTTTTGCGCATGCGGGTGTTTTGGCTGGGGGTGATGAGGATTAAAGCTCAGGCAAAAGCAGCCTCACAAGCTGAAACGTCTCATGTCTATGTCTGCAGGTCGATGATGAGCCTAAGTACCCCGGCGCATCAATGGTGGAGATTGAAGCGGCTTTGGCGTGCTATGAGAGATGCTGCACGGCGGTGCCTTTGAAGAGACACGGAGATCTGCGAAGGTTGGACTAGGCTGAACGTCGGGTGAGGGCAACCCCGGATTACTGAAAGGAACAGATGGTACGGCTATGATGCCCTACCACCACCACCGCTGCCACGCAACGGCAGGAAGCGACCAGACGTGCACCAAGCGGCGAACGAAGTCGAACGCCTCTGAACCACAGCGCCTGCCGACCTCACAGCCGGGGACGACTAAGCGCTGCGGACCAGGACGCGCA